ATATTGCCACACAACAGTTATGCTTGTACTAGATTTGCGTGGTGAAGTCACGGCTTAAGGCAAGTGACGGGGCAAGTTAGTGACTTCTGTACTGTTGAGGCTAAATTCACAAATTCTCAATTGTATGTATTGTGTCATTTCTTTTTGTAAAATATATATCCGAATCGGGATATTACTCACATGCCATTAATTTCAATCGGGAAACTACTACATAAATACGCATATGCATATGTGGTGATTATACGACTTTCGCATAAGTAATTTGGATAACTTTCAATAATTCGAGGTTACTCTCTCAAATTAAGAATACAAGATTTTGATTTGATTGTCATTGATAATCAAACCTTAAAATCCTTCAGATTCACAAACAGCAATTGGACGGGATCACATGATTGGGAAAACTAACTGTATTACCTTCTTCCCATCGTTTTGAGTTAATGGGTATGTAGAGAGTTGCAGGTTAACATACCCCAGGTAGCATGGTAGCATTGGCCCAATGCTGGTACTAGTGCCGCTATGAGTTACGCTTGTGCCGGCAACGGGCTTACAGCATTGGCACAGCAGTGGGCCACAGCGGGCGAGCCACTGTCTCTCAGCGGCCAGCTGGTACCTACAGTAGATTCCCAGCAGAGTAGCAGCATTTGACCCATGTGTTCCTAAATTTAAACACTTTATCAGTTCATCTGCCCGAAGCTACTTTTAGTCGTGAAACTTGAAGATTAACTTACAAATATATCTCAAAAGCCCTTGTCCAGTTTCATACAATCAGTGCACATTTATTTAGGCTATTATAATCTAATTATAATTTATAAGAAACTACAAACAATGGAAACTTTTTGAAACATATACATTTGCTGCAGACTATCAACTGAGGAATTTCTCCCTTTGAGCGGTATCTTCCACCATTGTTCTTCACTCTTGCTCTTGTCCGAGGTTTTACAGATTTCAGTCCATTTCCACGTGATATTCTAGGATCTTTTAAAAGAAAGGTATAGTCCACCACATATAGTCACTGTTTTAGTAAATATATGTAAACATGTTACTAAAAGATAAATGTGTTTTTGGAAATGGTTGTAATTTGATACGTAAGCACCATTGAGTTAAACGTGGCCATCCTCCAATTTACTGCAGCATTTTTCCCGTTTCAGTATTATACTTATTTACCGTTTCTGTAATCAGAAATACATGTATATACTTTTCAATTACATACACATTAGGTAACAATTGCATATCTGACTGATCTGGGATTGTTAAAATTCTCAAATTATATTTTGAAAATTATATTTGAAATATACAAAATTGATAGAAGTGAAATTTTCATTTTAACATCACATATTAATCAAAATTGAAAAGAACCCCAGAGGTAAGGCAATCTAGAATTGTCAGAATTTCTAGACCTTAAGAAGGCTCCTTTTAAATTCTTGCTCCAGGGTCTTGGACGACAGACTAACTCTAGAATATTATTTGATTTTTAGATAGAATTGTACGTTGTATTTACCGGTATATTGACTTTATCAAAATGAATGAATGTCGTATTGGACATCTCGTCGTAAAGAAGTTAGAAAAGGGTTTCAAATCATTTAGAAGCTTTGGCATCAGCCAGCAAATATGATTTAATTTGAAAACCAATATAATGCTGAGGAAACTCTAACATCAACGTCTGTATCCTGAAGCAAGTCAGATTTTTAGCATCTACAACAACATTTTCTGATGATGAGGCTCCATGTAGGATGAAGATGTCGTTAATGATGAAGATGAATGTATGGCCACACAATTTATGAATTTGAACAAAATGCAAGTCATGATTTTCAAAAACTAGCCATGCAACAAGTAGTTCTGAAAATGACAGCTCTGAAAATGAATATCGAGACAAAGATGAAATAATGATGTCAAAAACTTAGCGAATGGGCAGTCAAATACCAGGTTCCTCATAGAACAATTTCGTCACTATTAGAAATTCTACGTAATGACTACCCTTCTCTCCACTAAGGATCCACGTACATTGCTTCTTACTCCTCAGAGTTACGCTGTGAAAAAACATTACAGGGGCAGTACTTCATTTTGAATTTCAAGTTCTTTATCATATCAGCTTTCTGATAGAATGGAATTCAATATTCCTGGTAAGCAAGTGAAATTTCCAAGTGAATATTGATGGTTTACCTGTTTTAAAAGCACCTCTCAATGCAGTTCTGGCCAATACTTGGTAGAGTCATCCATCCCTTTCTTGGTCAACCATTTATCATAGGCCTCTTCTATGGGGCTTCCAAACCACCAAAACTTGGTGAATATTTAAACGAATTTGTAGAAGAAATGAAGGGTCTTGAGCGTGATGGGCTAGACCACAATGGCCTCAAAATTGAAGTTTCCATTTCATGTTTTATATGCGATACACCAGCCAGGGCGTTTGTTAAAAGGAGTGAAAGGCCACAACGGTTACTCTGGTTGTGATAAGTGTCTTCAAAATGGTAGATGGTTAAACAAGATGACATTCCCAGAAACAAAAGCACCTCTAAGAACTGATCTTCAATTTGATGAAATGGCTGATGAAGAGCATCATTTATTCAGGATCACCACTGAATCAATTATCAATAGGGTATGGTTACCCAGTTTCCACTTGATTATATGCATTTGGTCTGCCTAGGGTGTCATGAAAAACTGTTGTTTTTATGGATGAAGGGTCCTGCTCTCTGTAGGATGTAGAATTGGAGCAACTGCAGCAATAAACAAACTGTCAGATAAGCTAACTCTGTATTCAAAATACATCCCAAGGAGTTCTGTAGAAAAGGGAGATCTCTCAGGAAATAGACAGATGGAAAGCAACAGAATATAGATTATTCTTATTATATACTGGGCCGGTTGCCTCAAATGATATTTTGTGCAATGCCGTGTACTTAAATTTTCTGCTTCTTTTTGTCGGTATTACCTGTTTAGCAACCCCGCTACTAGTTCCAAATTATTGCGATTATGCCAAAGACAATTTGTGTCTTTTGTTGAACATTTTTCGCGTCTTTATGGCAATGATATGGTTGTTTTTATAACTTGCATGGTTTGGTACATCTATCACAGGATGTAAAGGTTTGGTCCCTTGGACAATTTTTCATCTTTTCCTTTTGAAAGCTTCTTAGGCAAATTAAAAAGCTACTTCGAACACCAAAGTGCCCCTTCAGCAGATAATAAGACGTTTAGGTGAAAGTCAGGTACCTCTTCACAAAGGTAAACATGTTTCTGAGAATCAAGGTGTAAGTTTGAACATTCAGATGGACCTATTTTATCTAATTTAGGATACGTGACACAATATAAAAGAAATCCACATGGACCGATTCTTTTTGTCAAAATCAATTGGAAATAGCTGTGTTAGTATTAACAATGAAGTTGTGATAATAAAAATATTGTACAGAATGCAAACAAAGATATTTTAATCATATATGCTAAGTTCCTATCCAAAAGATTTCTTCACTTATCCACTTAAATCGTCTTCTATTGGAATTTTAAAGTTTCACATTTAAGTGACCATCTGTACGTTGGGGGTATCACAAATTCAAAAGAAATATGTTATCTTACCTGAAAAGAATCATTTATTGTACTTCCTTTGCTGCATCTTAAACATTCAGTAAAGTGTGTATGTTGTTTCATTGGTACAGAAAACAGTGACATGATACTGCTAATTCTATACACAACCTTTTAACAGTAAAGATGCTATTCTAATCTGTAAATTCAAGCGACAAAGTGCTTTATAACAGGAAATGTACCACATGAGTCAAGTTCCAAAAGACTAATGAAGTGGGGATTGTGCCACACATTTGGCTCCACGGAAGAGAGAGTACTGCTTTTGGCCCAAGTTCAAAAACAGTAACCAACTGGACAAGGGAGTGAAGACCTGCTGCCTCCCAGACAAGGATACATGGAAACTGTATACCATCACAGTCATGTACAGTAGTGGTAAAGTATAAACGACTAAAGCTAATCAGTGTAGTTTAGTTTATCTTTAATTCTGAACACGTTTCATACTAATTCATTCATTTAAAAATAATTATTATTAAATGATAAGTCATTGTTAACAAGATGACATACTGGCATAATGATGCAGAGCTAATTAAATGTGTTCTAATAATTACAGAATCGTATGACAAGGTGAGGAGAAACTACCCTGGCAACTGATATGTCTAACCTCGACACGGAGGCAGAGGATGATAGAGAGTCAAGGAAAAGAAGGTAACCAAAAATACATTTGAGGAATATGGTTAGAAGCGTGAATATAAACATTTTAACACTTCTTTAAATAGATATGACAAAAATCACAAAATTACAAGATGATTGTTACAAAACTAAATAATTGATAAATGATTTAGTGGAAAGGCTTCAATTTGGAGCTCTTTGAATTGTTTGCATTTCTAAATTCCTTTTTAAATTCTGAACTTATTTTTGATTTCAGACCAACTGGCAGGTACTTGAGTTCTAGCCCAGCTCAAGTGATGAGGAGACACAAGTGGCAAAGAGCAAAGGAGTCACGAGTGTCAAAGTCCTCTGTGCCCATGCCACCTTCTCCACCTCGCCTTAGAGTTTCTCCCCAGCCGCCTTCTCCTCCCTCGCCTTCCAGTCTCTCTACCTGTGGCAATGTCTCCACTCTACCTACACTGTCGGTCCCGACCAGCCCACGGCGATCCCCCAGGCGACGGATCTTACCCGAACCATCTCCATTGCTGTCCTGACAGGATGTATGGAGGCCCAGTCACTCACCAAGTTCAACAGTGGGGGACAACTAGAGGTGTATATGATTATAATGGTTAAACATTTATGCTTTATATTACTTATTTAAAAATGTATCAACCCGATAATGGTAAACATTTGTGCTCAACAGTACTGATGAAAACTATTTCCACAACCTGCACAATTGTTAATTGTTTATTTTGTTTCTATTTTCAAAACTACCAGGGAAGTTGTTGAACTTGTAAAGATCGTGGAATCAAATCCAGAGCAGTGGCTCTTGAAAATCAGAAGCTGCTTCACCCAGGTCCTGAGAATTCTACAGTCTGGCTCCTCGGACTTGACACCAGCTGAGGAGTTGCATCTCCCCTCAAAACCATCGAGGAACTGAGGGAAACTAATACTTCTCTGGAGGATTCCTCCAGATTGAGATCAGCGGTAAATATTAATTTTGTTTTTAGACCAATTTCATTCCTTTCACTTACTTGAGTTATTGAAACAATTGTTTCAACCTCCAAGTCCAATTAATAGTGATTGTTGTACGGAATATTACTCTTACATGGCCATAATATATAGTTATAAACGCTAGGGAAGTTAATTATTGAAAAATTTACAATCCAACAGGTTGGGCAACTCGGAGTGGCAGGAGGCGTGTCAACAGGAGACACAATACGCAGAGTTTTGTCAATGCTAATGACAAACTCGGTCGCCAAGCAGGTGAATTGGAAGGGGACTTCAGGAAAAGAACCCTTCCAACAGATGAGACTGAAGGAAGTTGTTATTAGTAAGTACTCAGTCATACGATCCATTTACGCAAGTTTGACTTCATATAAGACAATACATAATAACAATATACATAAATATGTTAAATGAAATTGGAGAATTATTGATACAGCAGCTTTATTTATTTTTACTATCAGCTTCGGTTTCCATTTCAGAGGCAGCACGGAAGAACCCGGTATGTTTAAAGGCGTCCGACTGCGAGCTGGAAAGCCACATTAAATTGTGGTTCCGATATGCCCGGACAGGGACGGTGGTAGGAGGGAGAGGACCCTGCTTGCCAAGCAGAAGAAGAGCGCTGCTGCTGCTACTGCAGCAGCTGAGACAAGCACAGAATAAACTGTGTACTTATCTGCTATCCTATTGTATTCATTCATTCAAATTTTTATTTCATTGCATTCTATTATAAGAGAGATAATTAAAGTTGTTAAAATGCATTTAATTTTTGTTTTCTGTTTTCAACCGCGTATATTCAACTATTTAAGATATATACACATTTCAGCATTATTGAATTTCATATCTCAACACAATTCTAAGGCATTTGTTAAAGTTCTATATTTTGTACGACATATAATGATATGTGAACATATGTCCTGTTTGTTATAACGTTTTTATTTCATTCTTGTTCAAAAAACTTAGGGATTTAACTTTACAGTTGGTAATTACTTTAGCAATAAAGTGTCAAAGCCCTACGTTCATTCTCAAAGTGCCATCATGTTTTCACAGCATTTTTACAAGTGCTGTTTGTTACAAACACAGGAGTTGGGTGGTAGAGAAAACCAAGATACAACTTCTTGGCCTTAATAAATGAAGAACCACATATATAGATTAAAAGCCAGGAGGATATGATTGGCAAAACAAAGGCACAGTATTGGCTACAGACTGGCACGCCATCATTGGGCCAATGCTGGGCCAGTACTGGCTACGGATTGGCTCTGCCATCATTGGGCCAATGCTGGGCCAACGTTGATTATGTGTATTACATAGGCAATATTAGATGTGACGTCTGACGCTGTCACTCTGTATTAACTCAGGCCCACCAACGAGTCTATGACTGATGTTGACACGCGTCAAGTTCTGGATGACCTCAAAGCTCTCGACACCAACAAAGATGGCAGCCTTCATTTCCGCCGAAATGAACGACCGTTCATTTGGAGCCCATTCGACAGTTCCCTCAAACGTAAGTAATAGGTTGAATATTGACACAGAAGTTATTCAGGATCACCCTGCAGAACTTGTACGACAACTATGTTTGTGGTAAGTTATTTACAGCTATCAGTGTGGTCGGTCGTTCCGTCTGACTCTGGAGAGGATGGTTTCACCTACATCTGGGATGTTTTTATTGGGTCCTTTTAACGCTGGAGTTGCACCTTCATTTCTCATGCTCTTGTCCTGTAAGATTAACGATGGAGTCGATGGTTGCACCTACATCTGGGATGGTTTTATTGGGTAGTTTTAAATCCTGGAATTGCACACTCATTTCTCATGCTCTTGTCCTGTACAGTTAACGCTGGAGTCGATGGTTGCACCTACATCTGGGATGTTTTTATTGGGTAGTTTTAACACTGGAATTGCACACTCATTTCTCATGCCTTTTGTCCTGTACAGTTAACGCTTGAGTCGATCATTGCACCTTTATTCCCCATGTTCTTGTCCTGTAAGATTAACGATTGAGTCTATGGCTGCAGTTACATTTGGGATGTTCTTGTTTTGGCACTAAACGCCATAGTTGATGGTTGCACACTCATTTCTCATGTTCTTATCCTGCACAAGTTAACGCTGGAGTCGATGGTTGCACCTAAATTTGGGATGTTATTATTCTGTACAGTTAATAGGTCCATGGTTGCAAACACATTTGTCATGTTCTTGTCTTGTACAGAAACCGCTGGGGTGACCGTTGCACCTACGCGATGTTGGAGAAGAAGCGGTATGACATCAGCAGGGGGCGTAGCAGGCCGCGTCTTCGACGTTGTCGACGTCAACAAAGACCTCAAGCTCAGCGCTGCGGACAAGGACGACGCTGCATTCAAGCTGCCTCGATAAGGATGGTAGGATATACGATACCTTGCATAGATTTTGTTGTATTAAGATTACACAACCCAAAACATTCAGTTTTTTGCTGTTGGTAGTCATATTGTTTAAACATTGTGGAACGATCTAGTATTCTGATTAGCTTTAATTCGTTGAAGAGACGATCTATCTCTTAGAGGTACAAGAGTTACATGATCGCGGGTTCAAATCCCAGAGTCGTTGTCATCCTAATTCCTGGATTTCACAGCCTCAACAATTTGTTTCATTGAGTTTCGCCAAAGATTTGAATGTAGAAAATACATAATTCATATAAGTCAGTTATATTTTCTTTCTTCTGGTCATTATTTGTAATAGTTTGGAGTGTGGCGTTAAAAACAAATAAAAAAACAAAACACAACGATGAGAAGTCACAACATAATGAATGATTTTTATCTGAAGGTAATGCAAAGTGTCTGTGTGTGAAGCTTTCCGGGCTTCATGGCCGTGCTGCAAGATGCAGAAGAAAAGACCTACATGCAAGAGGTATTTATGACGTTTCAACAATATTTAACCAAGTTAGGGAAACTGTAGCAATGTACTTGCTGTGCAGTGACTATCCCACATTCATTGATCTCTAATACATAGCATGGATTTGTTCTACACACTCTATGGCAAAGCATACTCAGAGCACACGGAAATCATCAGTATTGGCGTGGTATTAAAGCAGTTAACAGAAACATGAATGGTAGACTTTCTCGTAGAACTGACAGGATTAACTTGCGTATATCGTCATAATGCATTCTGATGCTACATTTCAGTGTGTTATAGAGATGCTTTATCGCCTTGTTTCGATAGGTGTCGACCTCGCCAAAGAATTATAAAAGTAAACTCGACACAGACGTATTTACATGTTTTTGGTCTTATAGAATACTAGAAAGAATAGGGTTGGCTTATTAGAAAATTCTAAGATGCTTCGGTGAAAGATCAAAGGCGCCGACAGTACTTTATCAGACGATAATGTGCACTTTTTGCATTACGTCACAATGTAATGCCATTCTAGTCCGCCCCCTCGTAATCGAACAATTTTGCATTACGTCACAATGTAAGCGACGTCACGATGCATGTCAGTTGTCATCGCCTCGTACAGCCCTACAGTAAACTGGCTCCGTTGCATCCTCGTTTCTTGGTTTGCAGTTGCTTTTCACGCAGATAACGTCACTGGTGGAAACATTACGTTTATGTTTTCCGACGTTTAAAATGTCTCAATTCGACTCACAAGTTTTCAGCGGCACGGTAACGTTCGCAATGTTTACATTCCCACAATGCAATCGTGGAATGTCGCTTGACTACTCAGCTTCATCTGGATGTACTGATCTAAACTTACGTTGATAGTAGAAATGCGACGTTCAGATTGCCCCATATGGTTTACGTTACTCACAGATGTAATTAAAATAATTTAGAAGGATATTTAATCAGAACGTCATTAAACTGTTTATCATTGGGTTTTTCTGGTAACGTAGGTCTTAACGTAGGGGGCAGTCACATCAATAGAACAGCGCGCCAGATAGCCCTGTGCGAGGATTCTTAATTTAGGTCACCGACACCGTCGGTTGTTTTCTGCCTTAGATTAATCGTAATTATCCTTAGAAAGTATTACATTTGGTGATTAGAAAGAATACAGTTCCGCTCTACCACGAAGCGAAAGTGTGCGAAAGTGCTTCTTTATTACACTATACATGGTGGTAGAGCGAACTGCATTTCTTAAGTACTATGTTAACTGTACAGTAACAATAGGGGATAAATTTTCACCTCCCGTCATAAAGTTTCTGTGTGGTTTGCTTTCTGATAGAGCTCGTACAAGTCGATACGAAAAATCAGTAACGGACGTAACGGAAAGATATAAGGGCATGGATCGTAGCTATGAGTCATTAGGTAATGGATGTTAAAATGTAAAAAGTGGAGCAATAATGACCTACGACTACTATCTAATTTTAGCTTTGGTCCTTCAGCACACTCACAACAGATCCCATGCATCTGCAATAATCAGTGATGGCGATGACACCAGTAGGATGAGGTTTGGGTGTAGGCTGTGAAGGGTGTAGGTTGTAGGCGTAGGGCATAGGGAGCTGGGTGTTGGGGTTGAGGATGTGGGCTACAGTGCAATAATCAGTGATGGCGATGACACCAGTGGGATGAGGTTTGGGGGTGTAGGGTGCAGGGTTGTAGGTGGCTGTAGGGCACAGGGAGTTGGGTGTTGGGGGCTGAGGATGTGGGTTACAGCGCAATAATCTGTGATGGCGATGACACCAGTGGGATGAGGTTTGGGGTGCAGGGTGTAGGCTGTGTAGGGTGTGTGTGGGCATAGGGAGGGGGGTGTTGGGGTTGAGGATGTGGGTTACAGTGCAATAACTCAGTGATGGGCGATGACACCCAGTGAGATGGGGTTTGGGATGTAGGATGTACATGTAGGATGTAGGGTGCAGAGTGTTGGGAGGTGGATGGTGGGGCTGAGGATGTGGGTTTGCCAGTGCAATAACCAGTGATGGCGAATGACAACCCAGTGAGATGGGGGTTTCTGGATGTGTAGGATGTAGGGTGCAGAGTGTTGGGTGGTGGATGGTGGGGTTGGAGGATGTGGGTTACAGTGCAACAATCAGTGCGATGGCGAATGACACCCAGTAGATGAGATGGGGTTTGGGATGTAGGATGTAGGTGCAGAGTGTTGGAGTGTTGGGTGAAGGGGTTGAGATGTGGGTTACAGTGCAATAATCAGTGATGGCGATGACACCAGTGAGATGGGTTTGGGATGTATAGGATATAGGGTGCAGAGTGCTGGGTGTTGTTGGGTGAAGGGTTGAGGATGTGGGTTACAGTGCAATAATCAGTGATGGCAATGACACAAGTTGGATAAGGTTTGGGGAGTGTAGGGTTTAGGTGTGTAGGGTGTTGAAGAGTGTAGGTGTTGGTTTTGGAGTGTTTGGTGTTACAGGATGTGGCGACACACGCTGCATTACGACGTCGAAAGAGAAAGGGCTACTAGTGAGTCACCCTGACCAAACGAACTATTCAAGCACACTGCTCTCTCTCTCTCATGCTTTGAAGGTTTGCCCCAGTACAGGGCAGTTGTTACCCTAGGTTTTGTGACAAAAGTTTGAGCCCTTGCAAAAATGCTTGGGCAATGTTTGTTGAAAGACTTTCTCCTAGAGGTAGTTTAAGCGCACATACTCTTTGGCCTTTGACTATATTTGGGAATAAACAGCTTTTTATCACATATATCTCGCACATCATTTGCCGGTATAAATTCCGTATGCAGACTGTATTCTGTACACTCGGAAGTCATCTGTATCAGTGTTATCAGTCAGTTAACAAAAACAGAAATACTGGATTTTGTAGGAACTAAAAACCCAACCTTTGCCTCTTTTCTCAGGTGAAGTATACGGACATCGCCTACAAGTTACAGGAAACACTCTCACCCATATTTTCCCCTGGGTCGGACTCGAAACCAACATGTTGTCACTGGCAAAGGCAAGGCAACTCCATCACCTGACTGCATGGACGGATAACCGTAATGCTTTGTCAATAAAAAGTGGAAAATCTTATATAGCCCTTTCATGGTTATTGGTTAAGCACATTTTCTAGGGTGGATTGCAAAACGGACACGGGTGGCTCAGTCAATTAGAGTTGCGTTACACATTTGTACCTGATCCCAAGTGATGGTGGAGTTCGAATCCCTAGTTGTTTGGTTGGTTGGTTGGTTGGTTGTTTAACGGCACTTGTAGGCCGTGGGCCGAAACCCAAAATTGTGTCAAAGTGCTTGAACATGTCTGGTGAATGCAAAGTTAGGGTGTTATAATTAAGTTTGTTATTTATCAGGCCTATTAAAAACCTTAACTTGTTAAATAACTTGCACAATAATTATTTAGAAGCCCTTAGAATGGAAAATTCTGAAAGCAGTGAATCGCCATGGTTGCAAGGGTATTTTTGACCAATCAGAATACAGGAGGCAGCTAAGCCATGTGTGTGGTACTACAACATGGCCGCGGCCATGGCTGTGGAATGTTTATGTCACATTACTGACAATAAAATCTGTGGATTTACGTCCATTTACGGATATAACATGGGCAAAGTAAGGTGAATGAGTTGCAAAATGGAAAGAACTAGATGGCATTGAACATTCTGTAGCTGAGAAAGTTAGTTATAGAGCTTCTAAAAGCACAGCTTAGTTCAATCTGAAGCGTCACCAAACATTTACTTACTGATAAGATTAGCATTGGAAGCTTCTTGGAAACTAAAAGTCAAGGGTTGTTGGCATAAAGGTAGGGGTAGATTCTCCTCCTAAAAAAAACTCCTTTTGCTGAATTATGTTGCACCTCTTTGGCATTCATGCCTTAAATTGTAGTTTAGGTAATGATTTATTTGGCCAGTTTATATGCTTTAGTTATAACGGTTGCAGTGTTGTTGATAACATGTTAGGTTCTTTTCTTCATTATTTCCTTTCATCACACTGTTTAATGTGAGCACACTAGATAAGCCAACACTAGATAACGAACTTTCTCTTCAAATGTACATTCAAACAAAAGATTAAGCAGTTCCAAATAAATAAAGTAGAAAGATAAATTAGTAGCAGCAAGCACTAACCCTAAATTATTTGGAAAACACTTTTAACCAATATCCCAATCATGTCAACAATGGAAAGATTCACTTCCTCAAATTTATATGCATTAAAACTCTTCAAAAACACACAAGAACATTTACCTCAATTATACAACCTACCAGCAACAACACACATTTTTTTAAACTAACCATTTTTCCGATCAAGAAATATTTACAAATATTCTCTCTTTGCCAAATAGTGAAGCCCCTTGATCCATATGGAATTGCACATAAATTTCTAAAGGAGTCAAGAAGTTTCATTGTCCCTACTCTCACTGTTCTTTATAAATTTATGACTTAGGCTATTTACTCCCATGTGGGGGTTAGGGGCATATTTTGCCCTTTGTTAAAATTCAGGACAAGAACAACCCCCTGATAATTACCGTGTTATATCCCTCATTGACTCCCTTTATTATTTACATCAATTCTAAGTAAAAAGATTAAAATTTGGTGCTATTTAAATAATATATCATTTGTGAAGGTCAGGCTGGTTTCAAGGTAAAAAGCTATTCTACAATAGACTACATTTTTGCACTTCAGAGGCTATCGCACAGAAATATTCTTATAAGAAACGGGGTAGATTTTATGGATTTTCAAAAGCTTTCGAGACCCTTAAACATGATGAATTTTTACATGCTCCGTACGTTTGGGTAAGATGGAAAGTTTTAAAATAATATTACTTGTATGTATAATTCAGTTTGTGCCTGTCTTGGAAAACACCCAAGGGACTTTCTAAAACACGTTTCTTGTAAGTGGGTACCCATCATTTTGTAGCCCTCAAATATTTATAATATTTATTAATGTCATTTATGTACAATGATGACATGAGGGTGGTATGGGGATGTTATTTCCACTGTTTTTTAATAGTAATGTGTATGACCTTATGTCTGCTAATGATGTTTTGGGCTCTTTCAGACATTAATATTCAACCTCAGAAAAAAGATTACTTAGTAAAGAAACAAGAATAAAATTAAATCTTAAGAAAACCTAAAGTTGTTGTTTCTAGAAATGGAGGGCCTAATCTTATGAAAAGTGATGTTTTAATGGGAACAAATTAGGACACTGTACCTTTTATAAATATAAGGCATTGCATTTACACCAAAACTTGTTTGGTCCAGAGCACAATTATGTTTAGCATCTCAAGCCAGAAAGGCAATTTTATCAGTTAATCATTTTAAAAAAAGACATTTTGAAACATTCATTTACATCAAGTTCATGTTTCAAAATGTATTTAAGGAAATTCATATATTTATTACAAAAAAGTATTCACTGATCACACCAATTTTATGCTATGGCTCAGAAACATAGGGAAATTTTATTGTAAAAGTATTAAATCTGTACAGCTTGTTTTTGCAAAACGTATCTTAAAAATATATAGGTAACATTGTAATTTCTATGGCCCTGGGTGAATGTGGCAGACTGTCTCCTGCAGCTTAATTACTAGTATATGACCCCCTGTAATCAAATATTGGTGTAGAGTAATACAACCTCCCCCATAACAGATTACCCTTTCAAAGCTACCTTATGCTTAAGCTCATAAGATGGTAGTGGCATCAAAAGTTCAAAGTATTCTTTTAAATCTTTGGTTTGGATATGTTTGGTTGAGCCTAGATGTTGTTGATGTAAAAATGCTTATAAGCCTATTTAAACAAAGATTATCAATAAACTTAAACAGTCTTGTACACTTCCTTGAGTAATTCCTCCAAATGTAACTATTATATCAGTATTTTAAGTCAGTACTCAAATATTGAAGGTTATGTATCATTTTGACCTTTCTACCCGTTTAAGAGCTGCTTTAGCACAATTTAGGTGTAGTAAAATTTAAGATAGCTGTAGAAACAGGGCATTATATCAACACTGACTGTAATCAAAGATTCTGCAGCAATCATGTATGTGTAAAGGTCTAACCTATATTGAAGAAGAATTCCATGTATTGTATATTTGTGAATCCCATTCACAACTCTGAGAGAGGTATCTTACAAAAATTTGTTAAAAAAGCCTTACACTTTCTTATATTTTTAGTTAATTAATCTTTAGAAAATACTAACTTCAATTTTACTTGTAAAAATATGTTGCTTTTATATTTATTTAATGTTAAAATAATTATTATATACACCCTTGAAAGACCATTGTGCCCTGAAGACACTTCATTTTTAATGTATTTTGGCCGATGGCTTTTACTGGAAATATACTCTTGACATTCAAATCATCAGCATAATGTGTATTTATGACTCATACTTTCCATTCTGTAGATATTTCAAAAGTGTAAAATACTGTTTCATGTCATATCTTTTGTATGATCAAATATGTTTCCCAGAAAGCTGAAACTAACAAATTTTGACCTGTTACCATTCATATTTGACAGTTTCATGTGATATATACATGAAATGTATTTGTATCATGTATATCAATTGCAGCAATTAAGTAATTAATTAAATCAGCTTGCATAGATGGCTGAGCGGTTGGGCGGCTGTGACTTCGTTTGTTGACGATTAGGTGCCTGAGTCTAAGGGTGTGGGCTCTTGAATCCAAGATGGGACTCCAACCCAACAAAAGTACTTGAATCTGTAGAATTTTACTGAGAAAGTGTAAAACCCAAGTATAACATATGTTACATTTGGACCACTTTCTAAAATGAAATTGTGTAAATCACAGACATTATTATGTTTCTTGGACAATACTCTTTTGAATTTTTCATTTATATGGACTTGTCGTGTAATAATCAACACCCTTGAAAAAAAGTTTAATTGGTGAAATTTTAATTCAAGAAATTTGAATTTTAACAAATAATGACTAATTATGAAATTATGAGAACATTTCTAATGTTTCTACAACATTACTATAGCACAAGTACCATGTGTTATTGTGCTACCTACAGGCCTAAGTCAAGGCCGTGTAATCAGAATCCGGTCGGGAGTACCCTCTTCATTCAGGAGCTCTAAATAATTAATGTGCATCTATTTTTGCAAGAAAAGTGCCATTGATTCTTAACAAGCACATCCTAGGAAAATTTTTGATATATTGTTCTTTGTATTCCCTAAGCATGTTGAAGCACTCTGCTATTTCTAGAGGTCTCTACAAAAATTTTAGCCCACGGCCTATATTGGCTATATACCCGACTGCAAGGACGATAATGCTTTTGTAAATAATAAAATGGAACATACTGTTTGGAAGAGTCAAATATCATGTTGATGAGTCGAATATTTAATCGGGTGAAACGAAGATCACAAGGATTGGTCTTATATACTGTTGGATTAATTGAAAAAACATATCCCCGCTCAACAATTAACTTCATTCTTCTTACTTTGAAAGGATTAAATGTTTAACTTAAAGACAATTGCCTCTTTCTTGTTCTGTTAGAGCTGAGTTTGTAGGTCATGACGTTATCAGTACAAACTTTTCCTCCCATCTCTTCTCTTATCTTCCTTCTTCTTTCTCCATCTCTTCTCCAACTCCCTCTCCTCCTTCTTCTATAGAGCAACTAACCTCGGCTATTGTAACGAGGAAGAAAGGAGCACCCTCAAATATGTCTCCTAGACAATTGCCTCTTTCTAACATACCAGAACGTGCTCTTGTAGTTCACGTTATCAGTACAAAAATTTACTCCTCCTTCTCTACTTCTCCTCTTTCTCCTCTCCTCCTTTCTCTTCTCCAAGGTCCTTCTTCGCCTCTTTTTGTGGAGAGGAAGAAATGAGTGAGTGCGTGAGTTAAAATTTATAGTCACATCGGCAATATTTCAGCCATATTGTGACTTAAAAGTTATAAATTAACAATAAAACACAATTAAAACATTAAAACACCTGTCGACGAAGGCCATTAAAATAACTAGATGATCACAGGAATATATTTAAGACTAGTAATTAAATGTAAAATATTTAAACTATAAATGACAATACAATATAAAAACAGGCTATAGATTGCCAACAACTGAAGGTAGATCACCATACTCATACAGTATATTTGCTACCTGCATGGACCCTAGCTGGATTTACATTAATCCCTTCAGCTGTTAGCAATTTAGACACTTCTAGCCATACATTAAAAATACACATATTCTACGATTAAATAAGTTGAAAGTTGAAATTTACTTCTCAGGAGGATAATAATTTTTACAGTACTTTAAAACCCCTCGAGGATACAGCCTCTAACAATCTGAGTAACTAATTCATAAAGTAGGAGAGGAAGAAGTGAGCCCCTGAAATAGGTCTCCCGGACAATTAAGATCAAGCGAAAAACGTCTAAAAGTAAAGTAAAATCCTTTGTCACACTGAACAAAGAATTTCTAGACTTAACAGAAAAGATACTTTTGACTCGCAACAAAAGAAAGGATTTGCTTGTTAACAACACAGCTCAAACAAAGGGATATTGGTGACGTCCCTTCTCAGGAATTCCTATCAACATTTTTTACACGTGCTATAATAAATGCACGCCATCTGCTGAGTGCACATTTTATGAGGTGATGATCCCTTAGTGTCCCAGTAAATGACTTGCAGCTTCAAGAGGGTACAAGGACACGCCTAAGTATTAGCAGCAAGGAAAGGTCAGGTTAAAAACTGTGCACATTCCAAGGTTGAGATGACAGGGCAGTATTTTGAAAAGTTTCGTTGCAGATAATAGTATGTACTTTTACTTAGCGCATTGCACGGACCTGTGGTGTGATGAAGGGTTTAATTGTATTTTCCAGATCAATACCATTACGACAAAGTGAGTGAGGCAGTGAGTTAAGGATTATGCCACTTTTTAGCAACATTCCAGCAATATCATGGCGGGGTACACCAGAAATTGGCTTTACACATTGCACCCATGCTCGGAATCGAATCCGGGAAAAAGTTCGTTTCAAAACAAACATGTTAAATTTGTATATATTTGATTGTTGACATTTACATTTTCAAAATAAACTGAGAAGTGTTCTCTCTGAGCTACACACCGTCGATAATTATGATTATTTCATTATAGTACAGTCAAACACCCTTGTGTCGAACTTTGATAAGGTTTGTGTGGATGAAAATGTCCCGTATTCTTTCGTTCTTCATTTAATTTCTGTTTTCTCGAATTTTGATAGCTCGAAGTATTTAAGCGGGTTACGAGAGGGTAAAGAAATACTTGTAAAATACATCTCATCAGGAAATACAAGCTATGCATAGAACCCATAAGACTGCATTCAGACATCCCCTGAACGGCCTAGTCAGCGACGTGTATGTTGTATTACATAACCAAAACTATCTGGCTGATCTTTAAGTCAGCTTTACTAAGTCCAAATATGATTGCGACACATTTTGTGGATGTAATTTTCATGTATGTGCCTGCGTGTGTTTTGGGGGATTTTTTCTCTCTTTTTGTTCATGTTAAGACTTTTAAGCAAATTACTAAACTTTAACTGCGAGTAACATTAAATACTGATTGCAAATTTGTTGCTAATAGTCAGTGGAAGCTAATTGCACACAGAAATTGTTCTTTTGGTCATTCATAATGTCAAGACGAAAGGGTCGTTCACATACTTGACAAAGGAGGCAGTGTTATTATTTTAGAAATAACAAAAAAATAACGACAGTTCCCTGATCTGCATATGTAGCTGCTTGATATCGCAAAGTTGTATTTCAGAACATACCGACAAATAGGTTTGTTATGGAAGTTGTTTGTGATTTTATCACGTTAACATTTAAAAAACTTCAGATTGAAATACTTTCTACGAATTATGCCACGTGTTTGTCTTTTCGGAATTGACCTGACATAATGTGTCTTTGAAAATTTAGTTTCGCAGCCAACTCAGAATAATGCTTGTAGGGCCACTTTCACTTTAAGTATGGTTCAAAGAACATTATAGATCTCTATGAACCGTCTGGTATGAGTGTATTGGTGTTAATCTGGACTTTTTTGCCTTGATTTACCGTCTCTATGAACCGTCTGGTATGAGTGTATTGGTGTTAATCTGGACTTTTTTGCCTTGATTTACCGTCTCTATGAACCGTCTGGTATGAGTGTATTGGTGTTAATCTGGACTTTTTTGCCTTGATTTACCGTCTCTATGAACCGTCTGGTATGAGTGTATTGGTGTTAATCTGGACTTTTTTGCCTTGATTTACCGTCTCTATGAACCGTCTGGTATGAGTGTATGGGTGTTAACCTGGAATCATGTGCCCAGATTTACCGTCTCTATGAACCGTCTGGTATGAGTGTATGGGTGTTAACCTGGAATCATGTGCCCAGATTTACCGTCTCTATGAACCGTCTGGTATGAGTGTATTGGTGTTAATCTGGACTTTTTGCCTTGATTTACCGTCTCTATGAACCGTCTGGTATGAGTGTATTGGTGTTAATCTGGACTTTTTGCCTTGATTTACCGTCTCTATGAACCGTCTGGTATGAGTGTATTGGTGTTAATCTGGACTTTTTGCCTTGATTTACCGTCTCTATGAACCGTCTGGTATGAGTGTATTGGTGTTAATCTGGACTTTTGCCTTGATTTACTCGTCTCTATGAACCGTCTGGTATGAGTGTATGGGTGTTAACCTGGAATCATGTGCCCAGATTTACCCCTTCTGTGAGGAATAATGATTAACTGTTACAACTGCGTGACTGAGAAACTATGGTTTTATCTCTGTTGGGGTTGTGTATAACCCAACCCTCTAGGGTTGCCTTACCGCCGCACGTCAGGAAATCTAGGCGACGATGGTAACCATTTACAGCTTCCCAATGAAAAAAGGAAACACTCTTGTTATTACCAACAGTTTTATTGACGTTTCTACATCACAGTTGAATGTAGATTCTGCTTTATGCACACTTTGATGTCCGCTGGCTTCAGTTTGTCCAATCTCTGTCACACTGGCGTTTGTCCACAGGACTCACCCTGTTCTTGGGATCACTGCAGTAGGTATTCTTGAAACGCTGTGGATAGGTGAGTGAGTGAAATGAATATTGAGCGTCATTTGGCTTGTAATCAAATGTATAATATATATATATATATATATATATTGAGTTAAGGATATATATACATATCATAATATACATATCATAATCAAATCAGAAAGTTACACAGGCTATAGGCGTTTAATCAGAGATTCCAACCCTCAACTAAAGGGATAAGGCAGAGTGAGTGACTGCTACTTTAAGAACGTTCTTAAAGTTACGTGAATCTTGAACGGGAAGGCAAACACACGGCTTTTCAAAAATGATGTGGGCTGACGTAGTGAGTGAGCATTTTAACTTTTACCTGTGGGCACTCCTTGGGAAGTTTTAGATATGGACGTTTGTGTCTCATCATGAAAAATGCAACTCTAGTAATTGGAGAGGGATGTTGGCAAGAAGCGTGGGCATAAATTGAATAACATTTAATGACTTGCCAATATCAGTTCATAATAACTAAGGATTACCATACCTTGTAAGTTAACTTGGATGTTGGAATATTCGCGATATCGAATAGCAAGAGTTGTTCATTTTACTTACAGTGTACTTGCAGCATTTCAGGTGTCGTCTTTGCTGTAACATCTGAAAAAGAGATGTGCAAGAGATTGCTGTTTATTGTACTATTTGATCCCCTGTTATAATTCCATTCAACCTTTCTTCATAGAAATGCTGTTGTCATAAGCATCCCATCATTGAGTAATTCAAATGTCAAATATCCCCCGGGGTGGATCCACCAACATTTTGCTTGAGGCAAGGAGGTTGACTTTCGATTGTTAAAGTGGAAACTAGACATTTTAAAGTCAGTCATCATCTTGTCTCGGATACATCAAACCACTCAACATCTTCCTCTTGAGGCAAGGAGGTTGACTGACTGTTAAAGCATGAACTACACATTTATAGTCAGTCATCATCTTTTGTCTCGGGTACATCAAACCACCAACATCTTCCTGAGGCAAAGGAGGTTGACTGACTGTTAAAGTATGAACTAGACATTTGCGGTAGCAAGTCATCATCTTGTCTCTTGTACATCAAACCTACAACATCTTCCTGAGGCAAAGAGGTTGACTGACTCTCTTAAGTGGAAGCTGAACATTTATCGTCAGTTATCTCGGGGAAGTCAAGTACAAACGGAAGGATACACACATTTTGAAAATATATCTTACTGAATGTAAGAAACTGCCTGCGGTTGCGTCAAAAGATCTGGCCAGCGAATCTGCTGGTAAAATTCTTCGGAGAAGCCGTACTTGACACAGAAGCCTGGTCACGACCTCCCACTCTTTCCTGACACAAATGTCATCTGTAGGTTAAATTGAAAATAGAATAAGTGTTTTCACAGAAAACGTATGACACAGTTGTTTGGTTCTTCGGGTTCTGTTATCGCATCAAGATCATCATCACCATCATCATTAGTAGATCAGTCTTCATATTCTTAAGATCATATCCAAATATAAACCAAAGAAAGTTTCAAAAATTCAAAGTTATTAAATAAATATTACATCTGTTCTTTAGCTATCAACATATGCTAAGAAAGCAATCTTTACAACGCAAGATCTTACCGGTGTTAAAATGAAACACAAATATTTTCCTTTCTATGTGCAGCCTGTTGACACCCCTTGATATTTTAAGATATGACAAATATTTTTAGCCGAATTCATAGTGCATGACTGTGAAATTATTGAGGAATCTTTTAAGAATATGTTTCATTGGATTTCTGTGTATAAAACAACCTTGACAAGCCATTAAGCGCTTGGTTTCATTCAAGAGAGACAACCCGTTAACCCTTTTCATTAGTTTGTAAAGTGGTTATCCCCCTCGGTTTACATTTGCATAGCAGGACGACATTTTCAGTGATCCTCAGTATGGATGAGATGTGGAGAAGAGGAAGTTGATTTTAGAGTATTATAACAAGGACATCAGAACAGCTAAAGTGATTTCGGCGCAGAAACAAGCATCCCTTTGTCCACCGTTTATCGTGTTTTGAAAAATATATTAATTGGATATGGTGCATTGAGCACCAGGGAGGCGCAGGTAGGCCCAGGAAAATCGACTGTCGGTGACAGGAGGTGGCTTTGTATTCGTGGTTAAAAACAAAACGAAGGAGCTTAGAAAAACTGTAGGCTGGAATTGATTGATAGGAGGAACTGTGGTGGTCGCCCCGGTGACAATAATTAGGAACTCGAGTTGCATGCAATGGGTTGGCAGAGTGTTTATAAATTCCACTACAGATGATGAAACCTGAATAAAAGCCGCGAAGCGTCCTAACTGGGTGCTTTACAGAATAGATATTTTGAACTGGAAAATGTCATTTTCTCAGATGAAAGCCCTTGTGTGGCTGTTTCATCATACACTGGAAATTCTGGGCCAAATAGGGAACTGAAAACCCTTTTGTATCAGCGCCCAAAGGAGAGTCCGAAACTTAACACCCGTGTGGGGTGGCATATTCGTGTTGGGGCAACGCCCTCTGTGTATTTGAAGGAATATGTCTTCACTGAGCGGGTGTACACAGATATTTTCGAGGGATACTTACTTCCAATTCGCTCACATGTTCTATGGAAATTTTGCATTTTCCATAGGGGACAACGACCCAAAGCATCGCTTTAAAGTATCTTTACAGGCCTGGGTTCTGGGACCTTGTAATATGATACAATTAGATTGCCCAAGCTTATAGCCCTGAATCTAAACTAAAAAAGAAAAATGTTTGGGGACTTATGTAATGAAAGCATCAATAAGAAAACTCTGACAAATATTGCTGAAATGAAAAAAAAGAGACGGCCGATATTGTAATATGCTATAATTTCACGACTCTCTCTAGCCTTTCTTTGATCAGTAGTATGCCCCACCGCATTGAAGCCCCGCATTTCTACGTACCCATGGTGACTTGACAAAAATAATTAACTGTTCACCCGTCTTTGAATCTGAGTT